AAATTGGAAGAAAAAGTACCATTTTAGAGATTACATAGAGACTTGGCCCTGTCATTGATTTTAAAAATGACTTTTCTCATTGCACTGATTTTTAGTGCAATGTTAAAGTTAGTGTTTTAGTTATATATTAAATTAGATATAGAGATTAGTAAATAATTCTTATATCAAGGATGGTGCTTTTTAAGCTAATTAGGTAAAAATTAGGGCAGTGTTTTTTATAATAATCTAATAAATGAGTCTTACTTTAGAATTAATCTATTAAAAATTGAAAAAAATTGAACTACTTCTGAGATTGATTTTTAAATTCAGGTTACTGACTTATATTAATTGAAATGTTTGTTAGTTTATCCAAAACCAAAGAAGGAATGAAGGAATTTTAAAATAATCTTAAAAAAATGTAAAATACCGTAGAAAACTGCTAGATTTTGTGAATTTAATATAGAAGGAAGTATCCATATTGGTCATATTCTGAACTAGAATGGAATTTCTATACCAGTTGAGAAGTAAATTTTTATATTATTCATCATTTGGATATATATATTTTTTATTTTCTTGTAACTACAGATCATCGTGCAGGATTTTCAATTCCTTTAATTTCTAATAAAATATAAAAGAAGTGTTAAAAGAGTTTTCAAAAATGTGTTACATTTATAAAAGTGTTTCTAGATGCCCAATTTTTGTATAATTTGTGCAAATATCTCTCTAGTCTGCGGTTTCTAATACACCGGTATTTATTATTTCTAACTACATAGCAGACTTCCCTAGTGAATTCAAAGTATATGTCCATATATATTTGTAAAGACTTTACAGAACGTATGCATACCCCACTGTAACGTTTGTTTCAGGAGATTATGCCCCTGTGTGGTGATCGTCGTGGATTTGATTTCATCAGACATTTATTGAGCACTTCCTTGGTGTAAGATTTTGTTCTAAGCATTGTATTGAACAAGGCAGTCTTTGCCCTAAAAGAGCTTAGAGTCTCATGGAGGAGACAGACTATAAACAACTAAATAAAAACATATTACTGGTCCGTTAGCAGTAAGTGCTGTGAAGAAACAAAGCAAGGGAAGGTGATGGAGTGGAACCGGCTGCAAGTTTCCGTGGAGCAGTTGGGGATGGCGGTGTTGCAGGGGTGACATTTGAGCAAAGCCCAAAGATGAGAAAAGAACCATGGAACTATCTGGGGAGAAAGAATTGTAGACAGAGCAAAAAACATATGTGCCTAAACCAAGAGCACACCTAGAACACTCGAAGAGCAGCAGAGGGGTCAGTTCATGGGATGGAATTAGCAAGGGAGGGAATGGTGGGAGCCCAGTGAGGCAACAGAAGCTGAGGATTGAGATCCTTTCTGGACTTGGGGAGTTCTAAGTAGTCTGAAATAAGCCACTGGAGCAGTTGAGTTTTGGGGATAAAATGACATAATTGACAAGAGATGATCATGTTTCACCCAAATGATAGTGGTAAGGCTGATGAGAATCCCAGGACTTTGGATGTGTTTGAAATTGGAGCCAAAAGATTTGCTGTTGGATGACAGGTGCAGTGTGCCTATGAAAAGAACCAACAATGCCTCCAAGGCTTTTGGCTTCGCACTTGGAAGGACAATGTTGACATTCATTGAAATTGGAAAGACTGCCCGGGGAACACGTTTGGCAGCGTGAGAGGCATGTTACGTGAGATGCCAATTAGATGCCCAAGTGGAGATGTTGAGATATTTGGATATCCACACTTGAGTGTGGAGGGGAGATGGAGACTGGAGGTATAGATTTGGGGGTTGCCAGCATGTCAATTGTATTTAAGAGCTGAAATGGACGAGGTAACCAAGAAAATGAGTGTAGAGAAATGGAGGAAAAGGGGGTTCTGAGCCTTGTGCCTTTAAACATCTAAAGGCCTGGGATGTGAAGGAAAACCATTAAAGCAGACTGAGAAAGAATGGCTGGTGAAAGGAAGTAAGAGTCAGGAGAATTTGGCATCCTCAAAGTAAAGTGTGTGTGGAGGGGGGGGTTGGGGGGGGGAGTGTTTAAAGGAAGTGATAGGGACTCAAGCATGTTGAATGTTGATTAGTCAATTGAGATAAGGTCTAAGAATTGGGCTAAAGGTGGAGTCACATGGCAGTTACTGGTGACCTTGACAAGATCGGATAGGTGAATGGACAAGGCGGAAGTCCACTTGCAGTGGGTTCTGGAGAAATCGAAGACAGTAGTCATGGGTAGGTCTCGTTGGGAGTTTCTTCTGTACAGAGGAGTAATTGGGTGTGTGTGTGTGCGTGTGTGCGTGTGTTTCCTGGAAAGGGTCATCGTGGTGAATGTCTTCATTATTCAGTATAAAAATGTCAAACCAAAAAGAAAGATAGCTATAGTGTTCTCTGGAGGACAAGGGGAGTGTATTCCCACTGGAAAATTTAAGAAAATGTTGATAGAGCTGAATGAATAGTAAGTTATAATTCAGAAGCAGCATTCAGAGAAGGCTACACTTTGTGAAGGATGTCTTCAGAGTTCAGAAAAAGAACATTGTGGGGGTGGAAGTTTTAGCTTAGAAGGCAAAAGATTTCAAAAATACACAGAATCAAAATGATGGTATCAAATAAACTTGGAGCCATTCTACTACTGTTTATGAAAGAATAGTTCATGCCAAACTGGCCTGAGAACAATGTGAATGGACAAGAAACAGCTCAACACCCACCCAACCCCCCAACACAAAGCAGCATAATTTCAGGAAGCAAATTGGGAGACAACAGGAATAATACATTGAGGTGAACCCCATGTTTGCTATTGTTTTCTTGTATATATTTTAGACTAATAATGGGGCATAGAGGCCAAGAAAAAGTGACACCCTCAAAATTTGTGACAAGCTCACTAGGCTGCCAAAAGGAATGACCTTGGGAAATGTCTCAGACTTTGAACTGACAAC